AATTATTTTTCAATTCAAATTATACTAAATTATAAAATAAAAATCATTGAATGAGGGAGGTTCTCTTTCATGCAACTATTTTTATTTTATAATTTGATACAATTTAAAATATAAAACAAAACCTCTTACTTATTTATAAAGAGATTTTTTTTTTAATAATGCTATAGGTAATTAAAGTCAAAAAAAGTAATGATAAGTTTAAAGTAGAAAAAAATATTTTTTCTTTAAAATTTAATAAAAAAATGACAATTGATTTAGGATGAATCTTAAATAAAAAATATTCATTATTTTAGGATAGAGGGAGTAGGAAAATATGATACATATGCCACAACAAACATGGATCAAGCAGTAAGAATTATGGAAAAATTGATCATCAGTTGTACCTCTTTTTAGGAATCTATCTCAAATTTTTTTTAATAAATGTCGTTCATACCTCGTAAAAATTAAGTAGCTTTTGAACGAGCTTAAAGGTAGATTTTAAGGTGGGGCTCAATGGTGTTTTATTGAAATTATACAATTTTGAAATAGGAGATTTCAGATAACTAGGATTGACAAAGACCTTAAAATTTCTCTTAATAAAATTCATGTAATAGGTTATGCTGATTAAAAAATACGTTAAAAAATATTATACAATTGTCATTTTACGTGTTTATCGGCCGCCCCAAAAAGTTTGTTGTCGCTTTGTTGTTATTTATTTATTTATTTTTTATTATTATTATTATTATTATTAATATTTGGTAAATGCTTTCTGTTAAGCATATGGTACGACTAAATGGGTAAGTAATTTGGATTGAATGACTCAGAAGAGAAGGAGAGGAGAGTCCTTGTTTGGGAAATTTCACTAAAGTAGGGGAGACAGATGGAGGTGCAATGGAAATCTCTTATTTCTAATCCCTCTTAGTTTCCTTAGATATATATTTTTTTACCGTCAATTCCTTAGATTTATTTCTAGTTATTTTTTCTTTTTAATTAATTTTATAATACTTTTTCTTTAGTTTATTATATTAAATAGAAAATATAACCCTCTTATTCTCTCTCATTTTTTCTACTAATTTTTATCCAAACAATCTCTAAAGGTATATATATCAACTTCCAGAAGT